AAATAATGCTCTCAGGCGCCGTAGCCTAGGTTTCTCACTGCGCGGGAATTCAAATCCTCGTCCCTCGGCGGCACCTTTTTTGAATTTTTTTCATTTTCAACGGCGTTTTTCGAGGATTTCGGATTTCTTTTAAATTTTTTTGCAATAATATTATGAAAATAGATAACTTTTAACACATTTTAATGCAATAAAAATTTTTGGTCGGATTCCCCCTTTAAGGTACCAGTGGTCTTTCGATTTATTAAAATTATATTCAGTTCATCAAAATCCATTTCAGGGTTGGTTTGACATATTCGGCGCCGGCGAATTCCTTCCCAACAACTGGGCAATGAAACTCGCTGCCAAGGACATTTGCGGCGGACTCCAAATTGAATCCGACCTCTGTGACAACGTCCTTTTCCTGATCGCCGGACCAGAAAGTGATCAATGGAATCAGACTCGTGTTCCAGTATACGCGACTCATGATCCAGCTGGCACATCCACCCAAAACATTGTCCACTGGATGCAAATGGTTCACCATGGAGGTGTCCCAGCCTACGATTGGGGTACCAAAGAGAATAAGAAGAAGTATGGGCAGGCGAATCCACCAGAATACGATTTCACTGCCATCAAGGGAACTCAAATCTATCTGTACTGGAGTGACGCTGATTGGTTGGGTGATAAGGTTGACATCACTGATTACTTGTTGACCCATTTGGACCCAGCGGTTATTGCGGTAAGAACAAACAGACACACAGAATTAATTTAGAAATTTTCTAGCAAAACAATCATCTTCCGGATTACAACCATTTGGATTTCACATGGGGACTACGTGCGCCACAGGACATTTATCATCCAGCAGTGGAGCTTTGTACAAATGATTATTTGGGAAAATGAAAATTTTCCAACTTTCTATGAATAAATATTTCTAAAAAGTTGTATTTTTTACTATTGAAGTCCCTGGGACTGCTACCGACTGAGCTACAAGGTGGTACATATAAAATACTCATTTGTAAAAGATTGACTTCATTGGAAGGTGTAAATTGAGCGTAATTTTGACATGCTTGTGAATACAACACCATCAGAATTTCTTTAGCATAAAAGTGGGATATATAATTTCATTTTTATGCTACTTGAAAATGAAATTCGTCTACTTTCCATGTGGTCCATTGTTGAAAGATCCGTAGCCGACGACGTGTTGCTGTCCTCCGGCTCCTCCTTCAGCTTGTTCGTCGAGTGCGTTGACTGGAATATGTTTTTTTTTTTTAAGCTTCCCAAAGATCTGTTTAAACTTACGTCCCTGAACCATGAGCGTGCAGGAGATGACAAGGAGAACGAGGAAGAGAAGTTGGGCGGTGAACATTTTCTGAAATTAAATAAAACATTAGAAAATGTAATTCTTGCCTCATGAAACCCTCCATACCCTCAGCCTTTTATAGTACTCATCCTGTTTACTTCCATCTATACCTTTTCGTTTTTGACCTTAACTTGTTTCCCGTTTTCCAAATTGTTATTGTCACATCTAGTACAACATTTTGCATGAGCGAAAATCAGAATGATCTCCGGAAATAGTACTAATCGGGAAACTTTTCGCGGCAAAACAGAAGCACCAAAGGTTGAGGTTGACAAGACGGTAAACCAGAAATCTAGGGTGACGCCCAACCGAAGAAATGAATACAAAACTTATAGAGCAGATTGGAGATTTTAAACCAAAGAGGTTTCCAAACTTCCAATTTAGATAATGCACAAAAAAGTAAAAATCGAAATATTGAAATATTTTCTCAGAGCATCGAAAATTTAAAAGGAGCGTTTTCTGGAAGTTCAACTCAACTGCACCTACTGTATGCTTCAAAACATTTTATCTCGTATTGTTGGAATTTCACAAAAAAGAGATCAATTACCAAACTGAAGCTCTAATTTGTTTAGTGTACTCTGAAATTTTCAGCCAAATCGAACGATTTTTAACAAATTTTCCAAACTTTAATTGAAACTACTCTACATATTTGCTCTACTATATTGCCCACTCTTCAATTTGAGCTCAATTATCTCGGTTCTTATGAGGGATATCAAAAATCTATTGCCTGATAAAATACTGCTGACATCATGATCAATACTTTATCAGTTCACGGATTTTTGATATCTCTCATAGAAACCGAGATAATTAAGCTCAAATTTTACATATTGGGTGGGCTTCTATTAGAACAAATACGGTATTCGATTTGAGCTAGAAAAAGCTCAACAGCTGGAGTGTTAAAACGCAAACTCTATTTCTACAGTTAATTCGAAGATCAACGAAAATATTCAATTTTCTCAGAAACCTGTTCTGCAAACTTTCCAGTCATACGGTTTGGCTATTTTTGAACTCCATTTTGTTTTCTTTTACTTTCTTATCATGTTAATAATTTAACGGTTTCTCGGATTCTTTGTAAACATGGTATAAACACTTTCTGACAAGGACACTAGAGGGTCAGATATCTTCCTCTCTCAAGAATTCTTCTTTAGGTTCACAACACAGACACCAGAAATGAAGGTTGATCTAAAGGCACCGAAAATTGCACCTGTTGGGTTGGAAAAAAAGATACGGATCAAATGACAGTGATCAGAAACGAGATGGGTGTGGGAAAGATAACCATCTGGACAAGATAGGGTACTATAAAAGGCAGGTATGGTCGAAGGATGCTCAGAAAACGTTTTTTATCCCGAATAAATGATCAGCGCCCAACTTTTCTTCCTCGTTCTTCTTCTTGTTGCATGCATGTTGGCTGTTCATGCCCGTTAGTTTCGATTGCTCTCTATTTAGTTGAAATCCGAATTTTCCAGACAGCCGTGCTGATGGTAACGTCGAAGGAGGACTTGGTCAATTCATTCTCAGCTCACATGGATCTGACAACCACGGACCACATGGAAAGTAGACGAATAGAATTTTCAACATTATATAAAACTGATAATAATTCAGAGACCTGTATCTAAAGATTTATTGTATTCTTGGTCATAAAAAATGTACATGTGTTTTAAGAAATAAGGCTTATGTTATAACAGCCTATAGGTCATGAAAACCTATAGAAAGAATATAATTTTGTTTCCATAAATTTTACTTTTCATGACACACTTCAAAAAAAAGGCAGAAAATTACAAAAATTTACATTGAACCGACCTTCGGAAGTTGAACTTAATGAATTTTCAGTAGGGTTTCCATTTGGGGGCGATTCATCCGCCCGCACCCACCCGGGGGGCTCACCCCCCGCGGCCCAA